TTTATGAATTTGAAAGACTGCAGCCTGCTGAAATCCTTGAAGATTACCCAGAGGCACTCAAGTTCCAGGTGTATGGAAGACCACATCTGTTGATATAATTTGTATGAATTGGACCAATGTTGGCCCAAACACCTCTAGAGGAGAAGAACCTTGCTTTATGACTGGACTATCGTCATAATAACCTCCTGGTAAAGAATTCTGCAATTTTATTTAATGCCAACAGTTATAAAGTCGCTGTTCCTAAGAGGATAATTACAGTACATAAAATGCACAGGTCTGAAGAGTACAGTTTATTGAGTTTAGAAATTGCATTCACCCATGTAACCACCAGCCCAATCTAGAAGAAAACATTTGCATCAGCCCTAGACATTTCCTCATGTTCCTTTCTAGTCAGTCTAGCAATTTTCCACCTCCCCACTACCCCTTACCAAAGAGAGGAAGCCTCTATTATGATTTTTATTCATCAAAGCTTATTTTCAGTGTTCTGGAACTTCACACAAATGGTCATACAGTGTGTACTCTTGTGTATCTGGCTTCTTTTGCTCAACATAAAATTTTTGAGAACCATCCACATTATTGTATATCAGAGGTGGTTTTTTTCTTATTTCTGAGTACTTTTACACTGCAGGAATATGCTGATGTGGTTTGGCTGTGTCCTCACCCAAATCTCATCTTGAATTGTAGCTCCCATAATTCCCACGTGTTGTAGGAGGGACCCGGTGGGAGATAATTGAATCATGGGGCAGTTTCCTCCATACTGTTCTTGTGGTAGTGAATAAGTTTCATGAGATCTGATGGTTTTATAAGGGGTTTTCCCTCTTTGCTTGGCCCAATATTTTTTCTCATTCTCTCTTGCCAGCCGCCATGTAAGATATGCCTTTCACCTTCTGCCATGACTGTGAGGCCTCCCTAGCCACATGGAACTGTGAGTCCATTAAACCTCTTTTTCTCTATAAATTACCCAGTCTCGGGTATGTCTTTATCAGCTGCATGAAAACGAACTAATACATTTGCTACAATTTTTTTCATTCTCCCTGTGTATATTTGGATTGTTTCTACTTTTGGATGCTATGGATAAAGCTACTGTTACCCAGCATAATGCTTAGTGACCTAAGTGAATTTCTACTCTACCTTAACTCTGCTTATGCCTGAGATCAGAAGTTCCCCATTGTGACCAAGCTGGCAAAGACTAGTGGGATCCAAGATGTCAGCTCACTTGACCTCTGAAGAACTTCTAACTTCATTATGATCTAATCTCTATGTTAAATGACACTCCTGTCAGCTGCATGACAGTTGACAACCACTATGACAATGATCAGAAGAAAACATAAAAGGACAAAAAGTAATGTGGCACTCTGGTTTCCGAGTTCTTCACACATGCCAAGAAAAAACACGAATATTCCTCCCCTTGCTTTTTTTGAGACGGAGTCTCCCTCTGTCGGCCAGGCTGGAGTGCAGTGGTGTGATCTGGGCTCACTGCAAACTCTGCCTCCCGGATTCAAGTGATTCTCCTGTCTCAGCCTCCTGAGTAGCTGGGGTTACAGGTGTCCATCACCACACCCAGGTAATTTTTGTATTTTAGTAGAGATAGGATTTCACCATATTCCCCAGGCTGATCTGGACTCCTGGGCTCAAGCGATCTGCCCGCCTCGGTCTCCCAAAGTGCTGGAATTACAAGTGTGAGCCACTGTACCCAGCCCCACCCCTTGCTTTTAATACCCATCCTCTTCATTAAAGATGCCCTATATTGGGGCATCGGGGCTGGGAAGCTCTCAAAAGCTGAGAAATTGATTTGTGAGCCATGCTCCTGCTTCTCAGTTCCACGGCCATGGAATAAAACCTGCACTGCTTGATGCTCACTTTCAGTTTCGTGTCTTGGCTTCATGACAGAACAGGGAAAAATCTCATCTTCACAGGACGAGCTTTGTCATTAACACTATCATGAAGATACTTACACAGTGTTTTTGTGGATATATGTTTTCATTTCCCTGGGGCACTGCCTGGGAGTTAAATTACAGGGGGTTTAACATTAAAAGAAACTACAAAAGAGTTTTCTAATGTGGTTATACCAATTTATAGTCCTATTATTAGCATAAGAGAGTTCCAATGGCTCCATATCTCCACCAATATACAGTATCATTGATGTTTTTAAGTTTAGCCATTTGGGTATTCAGTGTTTTCTCATTGTGAATTTAATTTGCATTGGTCACTGGGTATACATGTTACCAATATTTTTTCCCAGTCTATGATTTATCTTTTGTTGTTTTCACTGCCTTTCCGTAGGCAGCAGCTTGTAATTTTGTTGAAAATCACTGTCTTTTTTTTTATGACCTGTGTTTTTGGTGTCCCAAGAAAACTTTGCCAACCGCAAAGCTATACTCTTCCATAGTCTTCTGTGTTTTCTTTTCTTTTCTTTTCTTTTCTTTTGAGACAGAGTCTCACTCTGTCGCCTAGGCTGGAGTGCAGTGGCATCATCTCGGCTCACTGCAAGCTCTGCCTCCCAGGTTCACGCCATTCTCCTGCCTCAGCCTCCCAAGTAGCTGGGGCTACAGGTGCCCACCACCACGCCCGGCTAATTATTTTGAATTTTTAGTAGAGACGGGGTTTCACTGTGTTAGCCAGGATGGTCTCAATCTGCTGACCTCGTGATCCTCCCACCTCGGCCTCCCAAAGTGCTGGGATTACACCGCGCCTGGCCCTATGTTTTCTTTTTGAAGCTTTATAGTTTCCACTTTTCCATTTAGTATTAAGAGAAATTTTGAATTAATTTTTTGTTTATGGTGTAAGGTAGGGGCAAGGGCAACTTTTTGTCTTACATTCTTGATCCAGTTGTTCCAATAACGTTTGTTGAAAAGAATTTTCTTTCTTCATTGAATTGCAATGGTATATCATGCTGTATTTCTAAAATTTTAAATTTAATTCCTCAGTTGCACTAGCCACATTTCACGTACTCAAGAGTTACATGTGGCTTCTGGCTACTGTATCAGCCAGCACAGATATAAAATATTTCCAAGTTTTATGGAACAGCACATAGCTCTAGACTTTAGGGAATAGTGGCTAATAGATATTTTCAATTGTGTGACAGGTAACCTAAGGCAAATAACGCAGTAAGAGGAGATATAAGGAAGATAAAAATCAGTCACTGCCTATATGAGGTACCTAGAGTAATCAAATTCATAGAGACAAAGAGTAGAATGGCAGTTGCCAGAAGTGGGGGACTAGAGAGTTATTGTTTAATGGGTACAGAGCTTCAGTTTTGTGATAGTTGCAAAACCATATGAATATATTTAATGCTAAAGAACTATACACTGAAAAATTTTAAATGGTAAATTTAGTGTTATGTGTATTTTACCAATATTCTAAGAAGTTTTTTAAAATGACCATTCCTGTGCTGGTCATGTGGCTCATGCCTGTAATTGCAGCAACTCAGAGGCTCAGGCAGGAAGAGTGCCAGACTAGGCTGGCAGGATAGTGAGACCCCGTCTATAATTTTTTTTTTTTTAATTAACTGGGTGTGGTGGCATGCATCTACAGTCCTAGCTACTTGGGAGGCTGAGGCCGAAGTATTGCTTGAGCCCTGGAGTTCGAGGCTGCAGTGAGCTGTTATGGTGCCACTGCACTCCAACCTGGGTGACAGGGTGAGACCCCATCTCAAAAAAAAAGAAAAGAAAAAAGGCTTTTTTTCCCTAGCTGGTTGTTCACTGCAAGTGAGGAAACAATCATTGTTACTAATAATGACTGACTTAATTCTCTCTGGTGTATCTGAGGGATGTCTAACATCTCTTTTTATTTACAGAGGAGATATTGGAGCCCAGAGGCTGATTTAATTTAATGTGTCTACCCTAGAGGATTTCCAGTGGACTTCAGCTGATAAGTTGAAGTTATCTTCAGCTGTTAACAGAAAAACAATTTGAAAGTTTTTCTCTTGTAATGTGTTATCCATACATGCATATAATACTGATGATTTTCTTTATTGGGTTATGGTAACATAACAAACTAGCAGCAGGAGCAGTCACTGGTTTTGTAATAAAAGTTATCTGAAAAAGTCAATCTGTTACCAATGGAGGGTGTCCAGGTTCTTGGCGTTTTGGACAAAGAATTGGAAGAAACACATAAACAAAGCAAGGAAAGAATGAAACAACAAAATCAGAGATGTATTGAAAGTACACTCCAGTGTGGGCGCAGTCCCAGCACAGGGGCTCAAGGGCCCTGTTACAGAATTCCTGGAGGTTTAAATACCCTCTAGAGGATTCCACTGGTTACTTGGTGTATACCCTATGTAAACGAAGAGAATGAATTAAAGTTACAAACTCATTTACTCGGCATACACCCTATGGAGAGGATATTTCTTGTTATAGCTGAAGTGTGAATCGGCCTTATGTTCCCTGCCTCCAGACACTATTTTCCTGCCTCAAATCTCTAATACTTGATTTTGATGATTTAACTGTTGATCAATGCAAATATAAAAGACTTTTGTAAAGCATAGGCTATACTGTATGTTAATTCAAGGAATGTCAGGGCATGTACTAATGCTGAATTCTGACAATCACGTGCTTTTGTACAGAACAAAGTCTGTTTCTTGAAATATTTTGAGTTAAATACTTCCTAAAACTCCTTAATAAAGGCAATTACAGAATCTGTTAATTGATATGTGGAATGGCAGTGAAAGAGGCTGTATTAGACGACTTGAAAATACTCATATTTGGAGCTTAATGAAAATACTCCTGCCCCCTAGAGATGAAATGTTAGTGACAGCAGCAAATAATCTATTTTTATATGCCCGATTTGCATATTTGAGGCCATCTATTAACACTGTTCTTTAGGACCTCAACCTAGTCGTCTAAGACATCCTTATTAAACGAGGCCAATACGTATCATTTAATATTGAAAATATTGTTAATGCCTTCAAAATCTTTCAAAAGAATAAAAATTAAAAACTAAGTTCTTTGTAAAATTTTGCAATTTAAAATAATTTAAAAAATTTTAACAATTTTTTGGTTTCAAATTAGTGGGTGCCTCATTTATCATAAATTATAAAAGAGAATCTAACAATTATTGGCTACATTCTAGGCACGGGGTAACGATTTATTATTATTCTAACCAAAAAAATACATGTATCTAAGTATCCTATGTAACGTATCATTCAATCACACAAAACCCTATGAAATACTGGCAGGGCCCGGTGGCTCACGCCTGTAATCCCAGCACTTTGAGAGGCGGAGGCAGGAGGATAATTTGAGCCCTCAGGAGTTCAAGACCAGCCTGGACAACAATACTGAGACATCGTCACTTCACCATCATATCCAGAATTAATTTCTACTGTTAGGGCAGTCAGCGAAAGGAAAGCTCGCGATATTACACAAACTACTACTCCCAACATGCAAAGCGGTTTCTTTCCCTCTGTCCCCGCCCGGCCGTCCGAGAGCCCCAGCAGGCCTCGGGGCGCGAAAGGCAACCTGGAAGCAGTAGTTCTCCTGGGCGCCTAGCGGGATCGCCAGCGCGGCAGTGGGGCCTTCTGCGGCTCCAAGCCAGCGGGTCCTGTCAGGGCGAGCGGAGGCGGAGAAAGGGCGCGGGAGTGAGCGAGGGTGAGTCAGCCACTGTCTACGCAATAAAGGGAGGCCTCACCGCGGGATAGGGCTGAATTCAGAAGTGCGGCCCGTGCCGCAGTCTGTTCCAGGACGCGGCTTGTCTTAGCGTCTGCGAGAGAAGGTTGAGGAGGAGCCAGAGCCGGGTCCTGCAGCCTTTCTCGCTATCAGCGCCCGTCGCCATCTCCACCATGCAGTCCCGGGAAGACGCCCCGCGCTCTCGCCGCCTCGCCAGTCCCCGTGGTGGGAGGCGGCCCAAGAGGATTTCCAAGCCCTCGGTTTCGGCCTTTTTCACGGGTCCAGAGGAATTAAAGGACACGGCCCATTCTGCAGCCCTGCTGGCACAGCTCAAGTCTTTCTACGACGCGCGGCTGCTGTGTGATGTGACCATCGAGGTGGTAACGCCTGGCAGTGGGCCTGGCACAGGTCGCCTCTTTTCCTGCAATCGCAACGTGCTAGCAGCTGCGTGCCCCTACTTCAAGAGCATGTTCACAGGTGGCATGTACGAGAGCCAGCAGGCCAGCGTGACCATGCACGATGTGGACGCCGAGTCCTTCGAGGTGTTGGTCGACTACTGCTACACGGGTCGTGTGTCTCTCAGCGAGGCCAATGTGCAGCGCCTGTACGCGGCCTCTGACATGCTGCAACTGGAGTATGTGCGGGAAGCCTGTGCCTCCTTCTTAGCCCGACGTCTTGACCTGACCAACTGCACCGCCATCCTCAAGTTTGCAGACGCCTTCGACCATCACAAGCTTCGATCTCAGGCCCAGTCCTATATAGCTCAGAACTTCAAGCAGCTCAGCCGAATGGGTTCAATTCGGGAGGAGACTCTAGCAGATCTGACCCTGGCCCAGCTGCTGGCTGTCCTGCGCTTGGATAGTCTGGACATAGAGAGTGAGCGGACTGTATGCCATGTAGCTGTGCAGTGGCTGGAGGCTGCTCCCAAGGAGCGGGGTCCCAGTGCTGCAGAAGTCTTCAAGTGCGTGCGCTGGATGCACTTCACTGAAGAAGATCAGGACTACTTAGAAGGGCTGCTGACCAAGCCCATCGTGAAGAAGTACTGCCTGGACGTTATTGAAGGGGCCCTGCAGATGCGCTATGGTGACCTGTTGTACAAGTCTCTGGTGCCAGTACCAAACAGCAGCAGCAGCAGCAGTAGCAGCAGCAACTCTCTTGTATCTGCAGCAGAAAATCCACCCCAGAGACTGGGTATGTGTGCCAAGGAGATGGTGATCTTCTTTGGACACCCCAGAGATCCCTTTCTCTGCTATGACCCTTACTCAGGGGACATTTACACAATGCCATCACCTTTAACCAGCTTTGCTCACACTAAGACTGTTACCTCCTCAGCTGTCTGTGTCTCCCCAGACCACGACATCTATCTAGCTGCCCAGCCCAGGAAAGACCTCTGGGTGTATAAACCAGCTCAGAATAGTTGGCAGCAACTTGCAGATCGCTTGCTGTGTCGTGAGGGCATGGATGTGGCATATCTCAATGGCTACATCTACATTTTGGGGGGGCGAGACCCTATTACTGGAGTTAAGTTGAAGGAAGTGGAATGCTACAGTGTTCAGAGAAACCAGTGGGCATTGGTGGCTCCTGTCCCTCATTCCTTCTATTCCTTTGAACTCATAGTGGTTCAGAACTATCTTTATGCTGTCAACAGTAAGCGAATGCTCTGCTATGATCCTAGCCACAATATGTGGCTGAACTGTGCTTCTCTTAAACGCAGTGACTTTCAGGAAGCATGTGTCTTCAATGATGAAATCTATTGTATCTGTGACATCCCAGTCATGAAGGTCTACAACCCAGCTAGGGGAGAATGGAGGCGGATTAGTAATATTCCTTTGGATTCAGAGACCCACAACTACCAGATTGTCAATCATGACCGAAAGTTGCTTCTCATCACTTCTACAACCCCACAATGGAAAAAGAACCGAGTGACAGTGTATGAATATGATACTAGGGAAGATCAGTGGATTAATATAGGTACCATGTTAGGCCTTTTGCAGTTTGACTCTGGCTTTATCTGCCTTTGTGCTCGTGTTTATCCTTCCTGTCTTGAACCTGGTCAGAGTTTTATTACTGAGGAAGATGATGCACGGAGTGAGTCTAGTACTGAATGGGACTTAGATGGATTCAGTGAGCTGGACTCTGAGTCAGGAAGTTCAAGTTCTTTTTCAGATGATGAAGTCTGGGTGCAAGTAGCACCTCAGCGAAATGCACAGGATCAGCAGGGTTCTTTGTAAATAGTATTTTGAGACACTAAGATGTTTCTACTGCTACGGAATGTATTTTAAACACATATCCTTTCTTTTTCTTGGAAAAAAAAAGTTGACCAGGACCACAGATTTGGTTTAGAAAGGGTAATATTTTGAAATACTACAAGGTTTAAACAGTCCACGAAATCGACCTGTTTAATAATATACCTTCCTGAAAGTCCAAAATTAAAATATGGAAGCAAGAACTATGTAATTTGACTGGGATGTTTGGTAGGTTTTTTTCATTGTTCAAATATTCATTGCACAGTGGATTGTTTTGATTAGTTAGTATGCTTTTTTTTTAATTCAGTCTTCTGTTAATTTTTAAGTTTTGGTTAGTGCCACAAGGAATTTAACTTTTTAATCTGTGTAATAGAAAACTGGACTAGGAATTGGTGGAGTTTTGAAGGATGTATACTTTCCTTCAAAATAAAGTGGTAGATTTTCAAAATTTTACACTAGTCAGTTCTTTATATTCTAAGTTAAATATAGTTTGTAAAATTATTTTGGTTTTCTACAAAGGAAAAAAAATTGTATATATATATATAAAGGTTACTGAATAATGATTTCATTTTGATAAATGTGCAGAATGGCCTCACAAGCTCACAGAAAGTAAAAAATAAGTAAATAAAAATCAGGATTCCATTGTTTTAAAATAAATCTCAGTTTTTATTTTGGAATATAAAATGTGTATTTGGTATATGTGACCAATTTTCTTCCCCAAAAAACACCCATTCTAGTAATGTCATGAATTAAACACCCTTCTAAACCAAAAAAAAAAAAAAAGGTAACTTGCTTTTTACGTTTGTATTTTTAATCTATGCCCAATACATGCTTTATTGACTCAGAAGAACAATTCCTAGACATATAATTGGGTAATGCAAATTTTTATCCACTGGTCATGACTTGTCTTAAAATGTTTATTTGCCTCCCTAAAATATTTTGGCTGTATAGGTTTGGTGTTTTTCCTAGAGGATTCTTCAACAGAAAGTGATTTATTCTTTACTGTTTTGTGAGGTAATATGGTTTAGAACATATATATAAGCTAAACATGGTATTTTATTCAGATCAGTAGTTATCGTGTCTATCAGCTATTAAAAAAAATCAAGTGCCAGCCAAGAACTTTAAAACTTTAAGCTGTGTATTATAAAACCATTTTGTGTAGCATTGGAATATTGTCCATTTTGTAAGTCACTGTGAATGTTCTTATCAGCTTGAAGGTATTTTTGTATTAAAAGTTGACATTGAAGAACCTAAGTGAATAATGGGGTTTGGGGCCAGGAGTGAAAGTATGTTTCCTCTAAAATATTTCCCTAAACAGTGGTATACATGGTTATTTTATTATGAGATTTGTATATGTTCTGTTTCTCTGTGAACCATGTTTTAGTCTCTCTGTCACCATATGTAAGGGAAAGTCCATAAATATAGACTAAATTGCACAAAACTGAAATTGTTAATTACAAGAAAATATAGGTGCTTACCTTTTGAAGGTTTATTAATACATGTGATTGTCACAATACGTATATATGATAAGTGGTGTACATATACAGATGTTTATGGTGTATAAATTTTTCTATACCCAATTAGAATTATCTTCCTGATTCTTTATTCAACAACATGCTAATTCCTCTTCTATGTTCTGTAGTGACAGAATGCTAACTTTTCTTACACCCTGGCAGAGGACAGGAGTCTGGTCTAGGATGGGGAACTGAATTTTTGCACGAAAAGGAAACAGAAAGGATAAAGAAACAAAACGCACAATCATGTTTCTTAGTCATTTTGATTGGCCGTTTGAACAGTCTACAAGTTTAACGTTATTTCTAGTGAAGTAAGATGCCTGCCCTAGCATACATGTTTCTTCAAAAGGGTAAATGTGCTTTAGTGATCTAAAGCTAAATTTTGTTCATTTGACATCAGGGATGTTATAAGTACTGCACTTAATACAAAGCTATTTCTCAGTTGTGTTATTTTTGAGCCAAATTTTTTTTTGTTTTGTAAAAATTGAGAGATGGCAATGCTTATGTCAACCAGATTATCCATCTGCAGAATTAAGGTATGCAACTGGTAAATAAAAGACAAATGCTCCAGTTTGTCTTTCTCAGCCTTTGAGTTCTTAACCTTTGAGTTAAAACCTAGCCTAAATAGTGGGAATGTCTTGGTTTTCAGTGAGGTTTTCTTGGGAAGGATCTTGGTTTTGTGATCTATTTGTGAATTAAGAAGTAGATGTTAACCATTATTTTATAGATAAGTGATTTGTACATGGTTAGTTATAAATAAAACTGGTACTAGAACCCAGGTTTCCTGACTTTCTAATTCAGTGGTTCTGCTAAATGTACAAAATTCTCCCTGTGCAGTGAACTAGCAGTGCTGAAATATCTTCATGACAATAATCCTTTTCTAAGTTTTCCAATTAATCAGCACATCGTTTAACAAATGCTTTCTATAACGTCATTTGTAGGACTGCCATTGGTAAGATTTAGTTTTATTTCATATGCTTTTAAATTCAAACAGTAAGTAATACTGGTGTTTTCAAAAAGGTAAAATAGAAGGCTAATTTAGCAAACAACTTGTTTAAATGTAGTTTTAGGATTAAATTATAATAGCCCCTTATACCTCCTTTAGTTGGGCAGTGTTGTTCTCTTTTGGTGCCTGGATCTTAATAGAGAATATGATGAAAACTTTTGACCCATTCTTCAGGAAAATGCCTGTGTTCATAATTTCATAATTTTAAGGGTATAATGACATTTCTGAAGTTCATCCACACACCCAGGGTAAAAACTCTTGTGACAAGGTCTCAAGAACATATCTATAAAAAGAAACTTGCATTTTTCACAAGACACGTAGCTCAAATGTTTTGTAGGGTGAAGGAGTAATTCCCAAAATAGGGCTAAAGAAATAATATATGGCCAGGTGTGGTGGCTCACGCCTGTAATCCCAGCACTTTGGGAGACCAAGGTGGGCACATCATGAGGTCAAGAGATCAAGACCATCCTGGCCAACACGGTGAAAAACCGTCTCTACTAAAATACAAAAATTACCTGAGCATGGTGGCATGGGCACGTAGTCCCAGCTACTCAGGAGGCTAAGGCAGGAGAATCACTTGAACCCGGGAGGCAGAGGTTGCAGTGAGCCGAGATCACGCCACTGCACTCCAGCCTGGCAACAGAGCAAGGCTCCATCTCAAAAAAAAAAAAAAAAGAAAAAAAATAATAAAAAAAGAAATAATATACATTCACCATCTGAAAGAAATGTGAAAAATAGTACCTCAGAATGAAGGCAAAGTTGACATTTCTGAAATTCTAATTTCCTCATGATGAGTAATGGAAGAATGAATAACAAAATATAAACTATTCAAAGAATAAAGTGCAGTAGTGTATATGAAAGCTTTGAAACTCAAGTGTTACACAAATGTAAGTGATACAATTATTGTCCAAGAAGGCTGTGTATATATTAGGATTTAAAGCAAAATACATGGTTCAGATGTTTCAAACTATTGGCACCATGGCTGCTTATTAAAAATATATCTTAGTAGCAAAAGTTCATTGTCTCTTCATAAATAGGAAAACAAGTGATTGGAAAAGTGCATCTACCTGAAAGGGATCTATAGTAAATGTAGTCAAAAAATATAATCAATTTGTTAAACCCTGCTCATTAAACCAGGAACCAGTGCTTTGCCCGATGTTATTTTTACCAATTTGTGCTGAAGTGAAAAACTATAAAACAATGAAGGAGTTGTAAAATAAAAATTATTCTATTAGATTTGTTTCATTGTTCAAAAATTGGAAATGTAAAAATTCTTCAGCCTTATATCAGTCCCCTAAACACTAAAAGAAAGTTGACTGGTCTTTGAAATCCAAAAATCTGATAACCAGAATGTAATTATCCTTTCATTACATCTCTACTTCCCATATCTATTTGAAACTTCAACAGTTTCATCTTTACAACTAATTTTAGAAGAATATTTGTTATAGCAAATATAAGAAAGCAGAAAGTATTAGGAGGCAAAATTATAGAAAAGGTGACTAGCAATCCCAAGAGAATTGATAATCTATTTGAGAACTATAGAGTGGATTAAGTATATACAAGACAGTTTTTAAATGAAAAACAACAAAAAGGTACTGTTCAGAGAAGCTGCCAAATTTTAGAGGAGTACCTTACAGGCAATAGGTTTTATACCCTTTTCTTAACTCTGGGCTATTTTGTCACCTAGACCCTTGCCAACAGCTTCTCTTTGTCACTTTACCCTTGTGGACTCAACATGGTCCAAGGCACAGGGCAGGCAGGGAACAGATATTGTTGCATATTATTCCCTCCATATCTGAGACATTTTCTCCTACTCTGCGGGGAGTCTCTCAATGGAGATCTTTTACACTGTTACTGCCAAAGCAATTTTGGTTACTTGGACCCACCATATCTTTTTTTTTTTTTTGAGATGGAGTCTCACTCTGTCACCCAGGCTGGAGTACAGTGGCATGATCTCAGCTCACTGCAACCTCTGCCTCCCAGGCTCAAGCAATTCTGCCTCAGCCTCCTGAGTAGCTGGGACTACAGATGCATGCCACCATGCCTGGCTAATTTTTTTAGCAGAGACAGGGTTTCACCATATTGGCCAGGCTAGTCTCAAACTCCTGACCTCGTGATCCATCCACCTCGGCCTCCCAAAGTGCTGGGATTACAGGTGTGAGCCACCGCACCCAGCCAGACCCACCGTATCTTAATCAAGAATATTCTTTTAGGGACAAATTATTTGTTAATTTTGGGGAACCTAGCAAATAGCAATGGTTCTCACCTCAAGGCACAGCCTGATCCAGAGTGTCAGTGTCTTCAAGGCTTTATTAGTACAGAGAATATGTCATAGGATGAGGTTTTCTCTCACTTTATACATTAGTTAGCACATAAGTTGGTTGTATGCAAGAGAGACCTTATGTATCTTTAAATGGATTTCTCATATAAAAGTCCAATCTTTTATGTGGGTCCTGATCTACAAAGTTATCTGAGACCCAGGCTTGTTGTCTTCCTGTTGTACTGCCCTTGGGGTGTTACCCTGTTTCACATGGTCCAAGATGGTTCACCCTCATGTCCATATTCCAGCCATCAGGATGGGAGTGTTGGAAGGGCATGACCCTGTCCTATAAGGGAAATTGTACATATCACTTCTGGTCACATGACATTGGCCAGCTCTTAACTACATGGCCACACCTAGCTGTAAGGAAAAGGTAGTCTTTATTCTGTCAACATGTATCCAGTTAAAATTCAGTGGTTCCTTCTTGAAGAATGCTAAGAAAGAACATCGGGATACAAACAGCAATCTCTACTACATCATCCGTCAGGCTAGATTTTTATCACCTGACAGTTAAAATCACTGCCAGGAGTCCCGAGACCTTCAGTGTACCAACTTAGAGAACCCACTGGTATGCTTCTCTCTTTATATTAGTAATTTAAATAGTAATAATTTTTTTAGAAACCCATGGAAAGTGGCAATATTTTATGTATTCTCTGCCAGAAAATTCCATGTGAGTTCTAGGACTCTGATCACTTGTAAAAGATAAAGTTGGGAAATGTTGAGGAAGACCAATAGGTAAGCAAATAACCTCAATAAAGGTTATAGTCCCTATTGTGGCAGATTCTACAGAGACAGCAGAGTTGCAAAGGTGGGAATGTTCAAAGTACAGCATGTACTTTGATGTAACCTGATCCTAGGATGGAAGGGGAAGCTTGGCATAAGAACAAGCTGGAAAAGTCAGTAGGCATCAGCTCTTGAAGGTCTTATATGCCGTCAAGGAGTTTGGACTTTTTTATTTTTTTGCATACAATGTGAATTCATTGAGAATTTAAAAACAGGGATTTGACAAAATTGGATTTGTTTTATTGAGACCCTTCTGGATGTACTGACAGTGCAAGATTGTGGCAGCAAGAAGAACATTTAAAGGGATGTGTTGTTGTAGTCCAGACAGTTACATAATGTGGTTCTCAATGGGGAGTAGTTATGGAATTGATGAGGAAGGAACAGATGAGTCAGTTAAATTTATCTGGACCTATAATTGTATGTTTGGAGATGAGGGAGCTGTAGGGAGTATGAGAAAGGAAGGCCTATAAGTGATTTCCCCTTTCTTGCTTGGATGTTGTGTTAAGAGTATAGGCCAAACTTCCGTATCTAAGACACCCTGGAATGTAAGGTAGAAACCTTTTTGTATACATTCAGTCCAGAAGTGAACAGCCAAGTATTGTGGACTAGTTCTGCCCCATGGGGTTGTTTACGGGCCCAGGTTCTTTTATCGTTTATCCTCCCAACCCCCAGTGAGCTGTCTGTCCTCATGAGCAAAGCACATTCACCAGAATTGTATCTGTGTTTTCAGCCTGTGAAAAAGGGGAAAGAGGAAATGCAAGGCAAAAAATCTTTTCATTTTAAAGAACTTTTACATCACTTTTGCTATTTTTTTAATTGGGGAGAACTTAATCATACCACCATGCCCAGTTGCAAGATGAACTGGGAAATATTGTCACTAAATGGATGTGCTTAGCTAAAACTCACGGAGCTCTATTAATAAATAGGTGTTAATAAATTAATATATTTTAATATAAACATGTTCAGTTTTCTGTATTCAAATGCAGGTGGTTCACAATGTCATGCAGGCATTATTGTTATCATGGTCATTTCAGATATCCCTGCAATTATCCTTCCACAATAAATTCAAAGCCAAAAGTTAGATTTCATATCATGCTGAATAATGATTTTTTAATAAACAAATGGGCCCCTGCATACCTTTAACACAGAAAGACACAAACACGCCTCATATTTTTGCTATTAGGTCTAGTATTCCTAGGAGCGGCAGAAATTAAGCCTCCAAGGGGCCCAGGGTTCTCTTCCTTAATCCCTAAACTCTTTCCAATCCTCTTCTCCTCTGGGAACTTACTGGCTTAGCCTTCTCACTTATCCCATATCCCAAAAGCTCTATTACTAAAAGGGAGGAGAATGGATGAGGACACAATCAGCAATCTCCGTCACAGTTGACTAAACGGATGGTGCTGCTGTTTAATGGATTTAGGAAAACAGGAGTCTTGATTTGGAGACATCAGTAGATGTATCTGGTGTCCCATATCACAGGCCTTTGGCCCACCTCTGATTTAAGCTACAGCTATGGCAGAAAGGAAAGGTTGATATAGATGGAGATGAGTTTCTGAGTATGGCTTTGGACTTCAGGTAGCTTATACCTCTAATGTTTTCTTTCTTTGAATTAGAATGCAAGATTTTCTGCTGAAAGGGGAGCCCCATGGGCAAGGGTACTTGAAG